TCCTCGCACTTAAGCGTCTCCTCCCCGCCAGCGGCGGCGATGGCAGCAGCTCCCCAAGGTCCCGTGGTGACTGACACGAACCACAGGACACCCAGGAGCTGGGCGGCCACCGTCTCCTGCGCAGCCGGCCTGGAGGGGCAGGCCGCCGCCATGCTGGGGACCAGCAAGTCCCCCACCTCTTCCGCTTCCGTCTTTGCTTAGGCGGGGGCGGGAGAAGGGCGGAAGGAGAGAGGCTCTTAAAGGGACCTTGTCTTAGCCGGAGGCAGGTTCTTGTCTGTACAGGGCGGGGGATTTATCTGGAAGAGCTTTGATTTGTCTTTGAGATCCCGGAGAAGAAGGTTCGCTTTGAGAATCCGAGGCCGTGCATCCACTGCTTCCTCCCGAGCTAACCCTGCTTTGACTTTTCCGTCTACAGATGTGCCAGCGGCGCCCAGCGATTTGCTAAGCGCTTTACAGACATTATCTCGGTTGGTTCTGGTAGGATTTGGGTTTACAGATAAGGAGCCAGGCTCCAAGACGCTAAAAAAGCATGTCGACGTTAGTTATTGAATTGGAGTCAAATTGATGTTTGCCCGATTTCAGAAATCTGTTCTCTTACTGTTATGATATAATGACCTGCCTGTTCGCTTAGAGAAGAATTTGTGAAAGGCTCTTACACAGAACTTAAGGACTCCATAACAAAAATAGGCATTACACTTTTATTTTTAGTAGTGGACATTTATGCGAGAGGGCCTATAGGAAAAGGGGTTTAAAGATTTTACGACTACACCAAGTAAAGTTGGAATTTTTTTCCCCTCCAGCTCTACCTTCTAAATTTTTATATATTCTAAAAGTTCTGTAGTGGGCCTATCTTTTATACTGGGCAACACGTTTACTTTTTTAGTGAAAGTTTAAGCCGTTTTATCTAACGCAACAATATTTGAATTTGATGCCTCCTCATTCACAGTGGCACTAGTTTTGAAGAATTGAGTTCTGCAGTGATTCTCAAGTTTTAGGGAGCATCAGAGTTACCTGGAAGATTTGTTAAAACACCAAGGATGGACCCATTCTCAAGTTTCTGATTCTGAAATTCTAGGGTAGGCCAGGATAATTTGCATTTCTAACGAATTTCCAGCAGATGCTGAGATTGCTAGTCCAGAGACCACACTTTGAGAAGCATGGGATAATATATTATGAGAAGTGTCATTTTGGAATAGGAGGACATGAAATTATTTGCAGTAATATTTTAGTATTGTAACAACATTGAAAATTTTTCTTAAACCAACTTTTCAGCATTACTATGCTATTTTTATTTCCTTAAAGATTTTATTTAAGTCCTCTCTAAACCCAAGGTGGGGCTCGAACCTGAAATCCAGAGATCGAGAGACCATGCTTCACTGACTGACCCGGCCAGGTGCCCCTCAGTTGTTTTTCAATTAAAATATTTATGCTTATTTAAGTGATAAGAAATTTGAAATTTACTAGTTCATTTTTTTTAATGTTTATTTTGGGGAGGGGGGACAACCCAGGGAGGGGCAGAGGATCTGAAATGGGCTCTGCACTGACAGCAGTGAGCCCTTTGTGGGGCTCGAACTCACAAACCTCTGAGATCCTGACACCAAAGTCAGACGCTCAACCGACTGAACCACCCAGGTGCCCCTTTACTAGTTCAATTTTTAAACTTAACTTTTTTTAAGTGGACTTCTTTCTTTTTTCTCTCTTTACTTCCACTATCCTTTCCTTTTTTTGTTTTCTTTCTTTCCCTCTCTTCCCCTCCATAGAGATATTTGTCAAGCATTTACTATGTACCCATCATTAGGCAAGACCTTACAGACTTAAAAAATGAAGAGACAAGAACCCCGTGATTTAAATACTTCATGTTTCCTAGGGGACAAGATAAACAGTTAAAGTACTATTTGATAATTGTTAATAGAAGCACATAGTTACAGGGGCACCTGTGTGGCTCAGTTGGTTGAGTGTCTGACTCTTGATTTCTGCTCAGGTCATGATCTCGGGGTCATGAGGTCAAGTCCCACATTGGGCTCAGCATTAGGCCCAGTGTTGGATTCTGCACTGGGCCTGAAGTCTACTTAAAAAAAAAAAAAAAAAAAAAAAAAAAAAAAAAATGCAGCCAAGAAAACTTAACCATTAAGTTAAAATAATACCAATAATATATGTAATATATGGCTCAACCCCCATCCTGAGATGAAATTTAGCAAAGGGGTTGAGGTCAAGGATTAGCTACACATATTAATTGCTACACATTTTATCTGGTAATAAAATACCAGAATATCTATTACACATATTTTCTGGCAATAAAAGACAGTGATTTTGCATTTTGATTACCATTTTGATACTCTTTCAAAACATTCTTGTTTGATTTTCAAAATTCAATCTAAAGATAATCAGAAAGTAAAAGGAAGACTTTCTAGTCTGAGTTTATTGAAATTATAACAAAATTAGGTATTTTCCTTATGACTGCAGGAATATTGCTGGTATTTCTATTTGTACCATTTTTCATATAAATTTATGAAATCTATTAACTCTATTTATAGAGTTAAATATTTGAAAATACTTACGCTTTACTGATTAATCCCATCATAAAATCTATTTTTATGGTTCTAATGATTATCTTCATTCTCTTTTGCAATGTATAAACTGAAAAGAAGACAAGAGTCTCCCATGAAAAATAAAGAAACGATACAAAATTTTTAACTCTTGAAATGATGGTACACTTAAAAATTCACTTTCTGGGGCGCCTGGGTGGCGCAGTCGGTTAAGCGTCCGACTTCAGCCAGGTCACGATCTTGCGGTCCGTGAGTTCGAGCCCCGCGTCGGGCTCTGGGCTGATGGCTCAGAGCCTGGAGCCTGCTTCCCATTCTGTGTCTCCCTCTCTCTCTGCCCCTTCCCCGTTCATGCTCTGTCTCTCTCTGTCCCAAAAATAAATAAAAAACGTTGAAAAAAAAAATTCACTTTCTCAGGTTACTACCTGCATTCTCCACCAACAATACAGATAAATAAAAAAATTCACTTTCTCTTCTTACTGCCCCTTAATCTATTTTCTTGTGGCTCAGTAAAATACATTATTTCTTTGCATACATTGTCTCTGATCACATGATTACTACATTTTCTAATTCAGCTAAGTTCTTAAATCTCAATGCCAAATTTCTTTGTCATGTAAGAATTATATAGAATTCTATAGAAAGCAAAAGACATGAATAGCAGTCTAATATGGAAATTGCTGTATAGAAGCATTAGGAAAGGAGATTGCCAGTGAAGCCTGAAGCAAAGTTACCTTGGGATTTAAGGGCTCTGTACATTGGATCTTTCCACCCCTAAGATTCTATCATAGACCTAATTACATTAACAGATAGTTTCACCCTTAGCAAAACTTTCTGAGGAAATCAACCTGGGGGCACCTGGCTGGCTCACTGAGTAGAGCATGTGACCCTTGATCCCAGGGTTGTGAGCTGGAGCCCCACATTGGGTGTAGAGATTACTTAAAAAAAAAATAAAATCAGGGCGCCTGGGTGGCGCAGTCGGTTAAGCGTCCGACTTCAGCCAGGTCCACCGTCCTTGGTCCGTGAGGTTCAGGAGCTCCACATGCAGGCTTTCTAAGGCTGATGGCTCAGAGCCTGGAGCCTGTTTCCGATTCTGTGTCTCCCTCTCTCTCTGCCCCTCCCCTGTTCATGCTCTGTCTCTGTCTGTCCCAGGAATAAATAAACGTTGAAAAAAAATTTTTTTTTTAAAAAATAAATAAAAAAAAATAAAAATAAAATCTTGGGGGGGAGGGTAGGGAAGGAAACCAAACTGACTCCTGTTTCTGTGGTTAGGACAGAAACACTAAGAGATAAAAGATTGTTACCCCCCCAAAAATTTTCTTTTTCATTTCACTGTGATGAGCAATTTTTTCTCCTGGTGATAAATTCATAGTATCAAGGCTCTGGTAGTGGGTTTTTTTTTTTTTTTTTTTTTTTTTGTTTCATTTTGTTTTGTTTTGTAGTTTTATTTATTTTTAGTAATCTCTACACCCAACATGGGGCTCGAAATCATGACCCCCAGATCAAGAGCAGCATGCCCCTCCCACTGAGTTAGCCAGGTGCCTCTAGGAGATATTTATTATGGTCAGCTGCATATTTGGAATTCTACCATGTCCATGCTGCTGTCTCTCAAGTATTTCCGATTGTGTCCTCTCTTTGTGCACCAATCTAGCTGCCTACTATCCAATTAACTTTGACTCATCACTTCGCAAGGCCTACTCTGTGCCAAGTATATTTCATCTTGAATGTCAAATGTAGGCTCTAAAACTGACTCTATCAGAGTCTGCTCCTCAAAAACCAGACCAGAATAAGTTGGCTTTTCTCTGTTTCACCACCCATATCCCTTCTATCAGGTTCAAAATTTAGAATCCTCTTTACATTTTATTTTTCTCCTTATTCTTCAGTAACTCCTTTATCTAATCAGTAAGTGACTGATATTTTTAAATGTTCATTTTTTTCAATCCTATATTCTTAACCCTATTTTGGGTTATTTATCCTTTCCCATTTACCTTGCTATCATGATTTCTCCCTTTCTCTCTCCCTTTTTAAATATTTTATTTATTTTTGAGAGAGAGGGAGAGTGCACAAGTCGGGGAGGACAGAGAGAGAGAGACAGGGAGACACGTATCTGAAGCAAGCTCCACACTCTGAGCTGTCAGCACAGAGCCTGACAGTGGGCTCAAACCCACAAGCTTCAAGATCATGACTGGAGCTGAAGTTGGATGCTTAATCAACTGAGCCACCCAGGGGCCCCCTCTCCTTTTTTTTTGTTTTGTTTAGTGTTTATTTTATTTTTGAGAGAGAGCATGACTGAGGGAAGGGTGGAGAAAGAGGGGGACAGAGGACCTGAGGGGGGCTCCTTGCTGACAGCAGCGAGTCTGAAGTGGGCTCCAACTCAAGAATAGTGGTTGAGATCAGACCTGAGGCGAAGTCTGATACTCAACAGACTGAGCCACCCAGGCACCCCCTTCCTCTTTCTGATCCTAGGCCGTCTCTCCAAGTTTGTCCATTCATTTTTTATACTGCTTCTGATTAATCTTTCATCAAAAAAAGAAAAACCTATATCATATTCAAAATCTTACTCAAAATCCTATGTAAGTTCCTTGGCATTGTTGACCTCAAAAATAAAATGGCCAGTTATTTTGCTAGA